ATATATTTAGATTTTAATTTCTCTTAAAATTTTCCTTTGATCTCAAAATAATTTTGAGAAACACTTGGAAATATTCATCGAATAAGAAACAAGAGTTTACATCTGAATTTTAGGACATAGAGTGTCGACTTTAAGACTTGATAAACAATTGAAATATCGCTATAAACTTAAGTATTAACTTCCTGCATAAACTAGGTATTGTTTTCTTTTTATCGCTTTCTGGAAAATTATCGTGTCGTTGATTACCGTAAACGTCTGATATGTTCTCATTGGACGAAGCGCAATAATGCCGCGACCTGATAATAACGCGAAAGGTAAAGCTCGCTCGAGTCTTACTAGATCCTTGGATAACGATAATCGCGTCATATCCCGGCGCTCGTTGCGCGATAAAGCGAAGGCTCTTTTGCGTTTCTCGTTTTATAGATCGCGATAAAACTAGCACTAAGCACGAGCTTCCTGCAACGCAACGTAAGTAATATAAGTTTACTCCATTTACACCGAAACTCAAATAATTCATAATTCTTATCTATGACATCATATTTCAGTTGAATGCACGTTCTTTTTTTATTCTGACAAGTGAGATTCAACTTTTTACAATCTACACAAACGAAAGATCGAATCTTTCCAGTAGACAAAATATGTATAAGACCTAACAGGTCCATCGATACAAGATTAACTTTAATCGCAGTTCAATTTACGCATCTTTATCTTATTTCTATTTCTTAGTATTAAAAAATGATAAAACAGTAAATTAAGCAGAGATTAAAGTTAATCTTACACTGGTGGAATCAGTAGAAAAAAAACCTCATAGAAACATTATAAAAACGTCTTTTAGAACATGCATATCTATAAAGATGTCTAAAATAAGACATCATAAAGACCGTGTTCCAAATTTACTATCAGTGCTGAAAATTACAGCGCATATAATGTAAACTGTAGATTTTCAGCGCTGATAGTCAATTTGGAACACGGCAAACAACAAAAATATTCTTCTAAACATTGCGTATTAACTAACGTTAAAAGTGAGGTTATAAACCTGTGTTGTTATCCGACTTAAGGGTGTGTTCCCAAATTTACTGCCAGTACTAAAAATCTGTAGTTTACGTCAAGTGCACTATAGATTTTCAGTACTGGCAGTAAATTTGGAATAGTCTCAATATCACTTATTGTGTGGAAATGGAAAGCAACTGTAATAATGAGAAACCGCCTGCGAGACTGACTGAAAACTGAAACAAACCGCGGCAAAATATCAATGTCGGACGATGATATCGACATCGAGATCTCGACGAATGTCACGTGACGTCAGGCAATCGAATGGTACAAAGTGAAGTGAGCGCGTAATTGCGACTCTGTGAATCGTACATAACCTCATCGTGTCACGGTGTCGACCACAACTCTGTTTCTATCGACTTGCCTAATAAGGCAAAAAAAAAAAAGAAAAAGCGAAGGGATTGTCGATTCCTCAACGGACATCCACCGTTCCAGCTTCTCCCATCCTTGACGTCCCGAAAAGGTCAAGCGTCTGTTCGCGAACATACAAATAATGTCTGACCCGCGTATAAGAACGCTCAAGATTAAGACAGGAGTAGTGAAGCGTCTTGCGAAAGAAAAGGTCACATACGAAAAGGAGGCGGCGCAGCAGCGCGAGAGGATACAAAAGTTGAAAGAGCAGGGTGAGGAAGCTTTTAGCTATAAGGGGAGAAAGGATTCCTTGTCACGTGACGTCGAAATTTGTTTCATAGCTACGTAATACTTATATTCGGAAATATTTGCTGCGTAGATTCGTTCTATACAATATAATTTCTAGTGTTAAAAAAATATCTTTATTAAAGCGCTCATAAATGTTTTTAGTGATATAATTGTTTCATAGGATCATAACTTTTAATATTTAAATAAATAGTATTCACGAGATGCTTTTTTTGCTCTTTAATTTTGAAGTCTTTAAAGTGATATCATTGATAAATTAATATTAAACAAAGGTTAAAAAATAAAAAGCATACAGCCACAGTTCAAGATGTCAATAAGTTCAATATTATTATTTTAACATGTAGACGTTTCGGTCAAGATTTGAAAAATAAGAAATATTAAAATTATACTATCTATCAAATTGTTATTAGTAAAAATATGTTCTTTGTTTAAACTTAACGGATTTATGTACTGAAGAGGGTCAAATCTTGACCGAAACGTCTACATGTTAAAATAATAATATTGAACTTATTGACATCTTGAACTGTGGCTGTATGCTTTTTATTTTTTAACCTTTGTAAAACTTTTAGCCACTTTCTAATAATTTAATAATATTAAACAATTTCGTTGATAGTATACGTACGTGTGTTGTTGTAGATAAAGATGGCTACGACATAAAGAAGCAAGAGGAGGTGCTTCAAGAATCCCTTATGATGGTACCAGATTGTCAGAGGCGTCTCGTTAAAGCATTTGAAGAACTCAAGAAGATCCTAGAAACTGAGCAAGATTTAAAGGAAGTTGAAGATTACATTGAGGCTGAAAAAATATTACAGGAAGCAGAAGAACAGTTGCCGAAAGAAGGGGATATTTTGCAGATGTGTTAAAAAAAAGTGCTCTTTAATGACTTTCGCTAAATTATTTTCAAATATTTTCCAACATTTTTATTTCTTTCCTTTACTAACCTTTTAAGATTGATTAATTTTACATTTAAAACTTATAGCCTAACTATTATAGTTTAAGTTTTTTTTTTATTCTCACTTGAATGCACACGTATTAAAATAAACATGTACAGTGGTCAATCTTTCCAACAAGGTGCTGGACAAACTTATCAAAATATGCATTTTAACACGTGCTATCCGATAAATCAGCAACCATTTCCATACAATGTAAATTACAGTGGAAATATATGTTATAATGTTTATCCAAGCCATGTAACATGTGATAACAGTACTGTTAATAATGCGACGTCAATCGATAGAATAAGAACAAGACAAGAAGATGAAAAGGTCATTGAACAGTTCCTCAAAGAAATAGGTTCAACAGTTCCTGCCAAATGCAAACAGAAAGATCCATTTAAGATCGCGGACACTAAGAGTGCATTGATGTCCGCGGCTAGATTGAATAAACAACTTGAGACTGTTTGCGCGGAACTTAAGAACAATCTTAATTTACCGGAAGAGGAATGGCAGGAGAAGATCAGTGCCTGTAATGCCGCAAAACATGAAATCTGCGAAATCTTAAAAACTATAAAAGATGCGAACTTTTTAAATAAAGTTAAGAAGCATTTAGAAAAACGTAAGAAGAAACGTATGAGAGAACGATTCAGAAGAGAAGAATGGAAAAAAGAGAAGTTACTGAAGGAAGAAAGAAGAGCAAGGTTACATGCAGAAGCTGATGCATGGATCCGAAAAGAGCAGGCGGTAATTGAGCGAGAGAAACAAGAGGAGAACTTGCGCAAAGATGCGGATATGGTTTTATCCGATGTTCGAAGCAAGAGAAATGATGCACGAAAGTATCTAGGGATCTTACAAGAACTGCAGAACTTACGAGAGATCAAGGCGAATATTGCTCGAGCGAGGGGCGAGAAATTGTCCTTAGCAGCCGAGAAAGCCTTTAATAATACCATCGGTAGTGTATTTTATTTTGCTACATATTATTTTCAATAAAAATAATAAACTTCTTAAAATGCGAAATAAAAATAGACATATCAATAAATTAATATAATAATAAGGAATTCTAATAATAATAAAATAAATATAAAACATGATTAATAATAGAGTATTTAATACAGGCTAGGATTTTTTGTGTTGCTTTCCTTATACAAATATAATATAAATTATAATTATTATATTTTTAATTATAAATGTATATTACAGCTAAATTAATAGAACAGTGGACTACTTTGGATCGCGAGTACGCAATAGAAGAACAGGAATTGAAATTAATGTTAAAAACGGATAACGAAAAAAGGATCGAAAAACAAAAGAAAAATGTATTCGATGATTGGGAAAATGTGCTATTTGGAACAAGTATATTGGCTGCTGAACAATCCTATAAAAATATGAATAGTTTTGTCTTAATTCGGTATGTATTTAATATCGAGACGTAATTAATTTCAAATGATATTGTATCAATTTTTTTCAGTCGAGAAAGTGTTTCTTTTTTTGCATTTCAGTAAAGCCTGGGATAAATTCATCAGTTCAGAAAATGATACGACAACGATTCCAATTGGGTGGATAGTGCCTGAAAGACCATCTTCTGCTGCTTGGCAAAAATGTCTCAATAAGGAGACTTCTTGAAATAAATGTATGACTTTTGTCAATTTAAGTTTATTTAAAAAAATAAACAATTTGCTAGAATATTTTTAATTAAGCTTGTGATTTGTATACACCACAAACTTTTTCACTATAAATTAATTTTTGAAAAGTTTTAAATTTGTTACTCTTCATTTATTCATTAAGAGGAAAGTATTTAAATTGTTGCTTGTTTATTTATATTTCAAAAAATTTAATGCTAATGTAATGTAAAATTATGTACAAAAAAACTATTTTACAAAAATTATTTTACAATTGAATATTTTATAAATTATTTTAAGCTATATTCAAAATAATATCACGTTCTGTTTGAGCGGCGTTTGATGGTTCCAAGCTTTGAATTTCTTTTATAGCAGGTAAAGAAGATGTTTCAGCACCAGACAATATCATTTGCATTGAACCTTGCAATTGCATTAAGGCTAAAATTAACTGTTCTTCCTCTTGCAATTTTTGCGACAGTATAGCAAACGTTTTTCGTGTTTCCTCCGACAGTTCGTCCAAATGATCTTCGTAAACGTCTATTAAACAAAGAATAAATTTTATTAATAAGAAACATGTAAAAAAAATCTAAAGGGAAATATTTAATACTTACCTAACAACACATTCGCAACGTGCGACAATACTCTTCCAAAACGTATACTGCCGATGTACTTGTTCAAGAATTTAATAATGTTAACTAGCGACTTGCCGTCTCTACCGGCTAATGCTCGCCTTAAACCTTCGCGCCTAATAAGTTCCTGTGTAAGCGCTACAGTGACATGTGGCGTTTTATTAACCACATAATTCATCATGACACAATCGAGTGCTTTACTATATTGAAACTTTCGCAAGCAGGCATCGTGCTTGCTCATTATCTCTTTCACTTCTTGGTGCACGACTACGTCAATACTTCGTACATGCAAATTTTCTCCTGCATGCCTATACGACACCTTTTTTCGTTTCGGTTTTATTACATCTTTCACGTCTTCCTCGCGTCTTCTAACAGAAATCATACCGTCTACCATACCAGCTACGACGGTTTCATCGTCTACCTGCAATTTAATATTAATCCTTTAACTGTATTAATTTTTATAAATAATTAAATTTTATAATATTAGATAGATTAAATTTATTAACTCGAGAGTAATCATTTTTTTACGTTCACCTGGGATATTTTTACATCCTAATTAAAAATCACTGTTATCATAATATATTATATATTATTGAATATTTTTCAATTTATTAGTCTTTGAGAACATTACAGATTATATATAGATTTACTCAATTTTCTAAATCAATTTTCTAGCTTATTATGACAGTATTTTTGAAAAATAAAGATACTAATTAAATATTTGATGAAATTGTATATTTAAAGATTCGTTAAAAAAATAGTTATTAAAGAAGAAAGTAAAAAGTTATTAAAACCGGAAGAATATAAAAATATTCCAGACGACTTCCCGGGTTAAATAAGTATAGATGTGACAGTAGATTTAACGCGGTAATGGCAAAGACAATTTGTTCTGCTTACACTAATTCCTATGCTGAGAACCGCATTAGGATAATCCAAAGCATGAAGAGTTTTATATGTTCCAGCATCGTAAACCTTAACATGCCTGTCCAACGAACCAGACAGTATTCTATGACCATTAGAAGCAATTTTCAGGCAAGTTACAGTTTTATGATGTTGTGTAATTTTCGCAACCAATTTACCACCCGCGAGAGCATCCCATACTTTAATATCTGTCCCACCTTGAAATTACAGATAAATAAATAATAAACAATTTTATATATAAACTCTCTGTATGAAATTGTATATAATGTATATATAATATATATAAATATTATACATATTTACTGAAAAATTTATAACATTTTTTTAATTAAACAATAATAAATGATTTATTAAGACCGTATAATGCGAACACACGAGTAACAATTTAATGCCTGTAACGGTATCAAAACAAAATCTTAGATGCTTATAGTCCATATGAATTTATATATTATATTACATAATATATATTCATCTGAATTGTTCATCAAAATTTTTTTAAAATTATATATAGATACATGAAATATAATCAAACTATCATAAATATTATACCTGCTGATAGAAATATTCCTCCAGTCGGCAAGAAGAGTAAACTTTCTACTGGTGCGTTATGATTAACACTAAATACCTTCTTATTCGTTCTGGCATCATACATATTCACAATTTTATCATATCCGCCGGATAGTAACACATCAGAGGATACAGGACTCACTGCGCCGGCTCTGACATAATCTGTATGTTCATTGAAGCTTGTCAATTGTTTTTCACTAGGTATGTCCCACAAAGCTACAGTCTTATCGTCTGAAAATGAGGCAACGTGAACATCATCTGCTGTGAAGAAAACTCTGTGCACTGCAGCCTTGTGTCCAGAAAAGATTCGCAACACGCTATTTGAACTGATGTTGAAGAGTTTAATCACTGCTTCTTCTCCACCAACACACAACAGCTTGCCATCTCTACGAAAACAACCTCCATATGCAGCTTCTTTGAACTTGCTGTAAGTTTTTGTAGCTAATTTTGTGATAGGATTATACAGTTGTACTCGTACTGAGCAGGTTGTTGCGAAATAATGTGGCTCTACTGGCGAAAAATCAATGTAGTCTATCGGACCAAATTCTTTTATTAAAACTGGAGGCTGTAAACATACATAATTATCACAAATAATTTATCATTCTTTATAAACATAATTTTAATAAATGCATAGACTATAAAAATTAATCCTTAGTACACATGATGACTTTCTGATCCTTTACTCAGAGGGTTATTCATGTTCCAGATTAATTTTCATCACTTTAATAAATACAAAAAATTTATTAAATACTTCTTATATATACTTCAACATCTTTAGAAAGTATTTCCAAGATTATATATTTAAAAAAATTATATCTAAATGTTATTACTAATTACTTGATGCCCCTAGTTTTTTGAAGAAAAAAAATATGCTGAAGCACGAATGATCATATGTATTAAGAATTAAAAATTTAAGAAATGTTTTAAAGATATCACATTTATTATCGGCAAATGAAAATATAAATCAAATGAAAGCAAAAATATAGACAAGTTTTATTAAAAAAATATAAATTAATAGTTTATAATTATATTTATATTATAAATACAGATTTTTTTTTTACTACTTTGTGAAACAGACTGCTTATTTTACAGTCTTATTTATTGGTGTATGCTATATTCCCATCAGAAACCATCAAATAAAGGTAGTAGTACATATCAGATAACATCATTCTAACAAAGAAATTTTAAAGAAAGATTTTCCTCAACAAATTAGAAAATTTTTCTGTATGAAT